CTGACCAGGTTTAGGTCTTATGGTTTATGCTCTAAGCCTTTGCAAATGGAGGCATTCATAGTACGAGCAGAGGCGTAGAGATGGACCAATCCTTTATCACGGCATTTGGAGGCCAGAAGGAAAAATACTGAGAAATGGACTTAGAAAGACCTAGATGTTCCGTGAAGCACTTAGGGGTCATAATTGCTATCGTGTGGCGCTGTGTTTTAAACGAACAGATATTCTGAATCTCTCCTTTTTTTCCTAGTACTGGATGAATGAATACACCTCGTCCATCGGAATTGGAGTTTTTCATTCAGGAATTGAAGTATACGGCAGAGGTACGTGTACCCACCGTGTGAACAGGCTTTCCGAAGACTGTTTTCTCCTGAAGCGCTCGCAAAATCATCACCATAGGTCTCCTCTTTTTTTGCAACTGCTTCCATACATTACTGCAGAAAATAGAAGAAAATCTCCCCACATTGTGTACTGCAGTCTGGGAAAATGCCCAAAGTTGAATGCATTTGAGGAGAAAGTACTCAAGTTCATGAACATAACGTTCGTTGAGTTGTCTTTTCTCCCGAATACAGCGGCTTAAAAAGCAGTTGCTTCTTGGATTATTTCACCGCCACGGTTTTGCTCTGACAAATACTGGAGTTCCTAAGAAGCCTTGTGCTTTGAAAAACCGTCATTCTGGTTGGAACAGTATTGGTGCTAGAGTGTCGTTCTTGAAATACCAATTTCCTGAGGGAATTTCAGTATTAAATTTTGTTTTTGGAGACTTGCAAGTGTGTAGTTATAAGGTTGGAAAATATCACTGAGCAAATCCTGCCCCTGGTTCCATCTAGCTTTTTGCTCAAGAATGATGGCCTTTGTCATTAGCCCAAGCCCTTTTATTCTTCATTGCCCTTAATTATGATAAATATGACAGGAGCCACTCAAACCAAGCAGCTTTGTTTTTAACAGCTTTTTCCTTTGTTCTAATTCCCGCTGCTGGTGCAGGATAATTTCCTCCAGGTCAAGCTGTAAGCAGTAATGATCTGCATAAGACGGACCACATTTCCAGTTTCGTCGGGGTTGTAAAAATACATTATCTTGAATCCTAAACTCACCCCGTAGCAGAAATGTCTGTCACGTGCTTCAGTCAGGCGGCCTTTGTGCGGGCCCTCTGAGAATATGCGTTGCAGTCCACCCGGAGTTCCCTGTGAAGACCGCATCCCTGCTGTAGCTGGTGCAAGGAAGAGGCTCCATGACCTACCTGGGTCGGTGTGGTGCTTCTCCTGTCCCTTTCTTACATTCCACACCAGCCGCTTCTGGGTGCAGCGTAGCGTATCACACGTTCGCTATAAACATGTGCCATTTAAGCTCCGTGTGAGTTGGAAGCCTGCACTGTCTGTCTGTCTCCAGATAATTAATCCCCAAAAGCAAGGAGGCTCTTGCCCAAAGAGTCAGCAGTCACTACGTGTTGCTGCGGGTGGCCTCGTCATCTGTGGGTTTGCGCCCTTGTTTGACTTGGCTTTTGCCAGAGTTGCGTGTTTCCCCTTTAACTGAATCTCTGGTGTTAGAGTTTTCTAAGTGCTACCAAGTTGTGAACCGCTTGATCCCGTTGCTGTGAAGTAGAGAAGGACGTGTGGGCCTGTGGCGCTTTCTCCATTTTCCAAGCGAAGAAACCAAAGCTCAGATCAGCTGGAAGTCAGATCAGATCAGCTGCTAATAGTTCTTAGAACTAGGACTTGAACCCAGGTGTTCTTACGTGCCAGTCATTATTCTGTTACCTGTCTAATCATTGCGCCCCTCCACCAAATGATTCAGGAGTCTTCAGAAACATGGTTCAAAACATGTTCGTATAAGTTTAGCAAAGCTAAGGTCAGATGTCTTCCTGAAAGTAAATGACGCTTCTTGAACAGATGAATAAATGGCTCTGTGACTTTCCTTAATGGACTTGAGGAAGTTAAAAATCTAAACATAACATATCCAACCTGATTATCGACAAGGTTTATTATAAAGTCCTATCGTTAAGATAAGTTTTAATGTGTATTTCAGAACTGAATGCCAAACACTTTCTTATCCAGACCTTTGCTTTTTCTCTGGAAGGTCTGAATCAAAAGTAAACTTGGTATGTTTCTTGTTCTCACCCATGCTTTGTTCTAAGACCTTTCACGATTAGATTTAATAAATTTTAAGAGATGAGATTAATTTAAACATTTGTTTGTAATTTTTTAAGTAAGTCCACTAAGATTTGCCACTTAAATATCTAAATATCTCCTACCAGAAATTTGAATTCCTTCCTTCTCCGCTTCTGTTCTGGATGAGAGTTTATATCCCATGATCCTTCAGTACAAGTAGTTCCCACAGAGCTGAAAGATCTCCCGCGAGAGTGTGTGTGGAGAGGTGTATACGTTTACTTGGCAGCTTGCTTGTTTTCTTGAATGAGGGGGATTGAATTCAGTTTTCCAGGTTTGGTAATGTTTCATTATTCACAGATAAACCAAGAGCCTTCAACCCATGAGCCATGAAAGCTCATTACTGTTAGTCAGTTTCTCCAGTAAAGTGTTGAGTTTGAAATTTGATGCCTTCAATTTGGAAAGTGGCAAAGTGCAGAACTGACCGCCCATGTCTTTTGGCACGACACATGGGCAGAGAGACCATGGTCACCTGCGATAGTCACCCTCCTCCTGCCAACAAGAGGGGACGAGTCAGGGTCACCTTTGAGTGTCTTTCGTTATCAGAATCAGGCCTTTTCTATCGACTGTTGTTACACGTAACAGCTAAACGAGACTGAGATATTTGTGAAAGCATTGATAAACTGGAAAATATTTAGATGGTGTCGTTATTATCCTCATCATTTATTAAAGCTAATTCAGCATTCTGGTTAAGTTTTGTGTGATAAATACTAAAAATCATGAGTTTTCTCTTTTCAGAATTTGCTTATGGTGGCCATCCTTACCCCTTTTCTGGAATATTTGAAATTTCCCCAGGAAATGCTTCTGAACTAGGAGAAACATTTAAATTTAAGTAAGTAGGGAGGATAATTTTTATTACACTGTCTTAGGTGCCAAAGCTTGTTTTCAGGCCTATGGAAGTCACTCTGTAGACTAAAATCTAGGAAGTTAAAATGTTTCTTTAACGCTGTTTTAGTTGCTGACATTTATTTTAAAGTCGAACCTATCAGAGTTTGTGTAAAGATGAGAATCGGCCAGATGAAGTGCCTGAAATAATCTAGTCTTTTGCTTTTTTTCAGGACCCACGTGAGTTATTTTGTGTACTTTAGAAATGTTCTTACTTTAGTATATAACTTGGATTCTGCCTTAGAAAACGTGTGTATGTGAGTGATAGCTTCCCCCTCAGACTCCCGTGCAGAGAGATGGAAGAAAGGGTCGCTGTGACCCACCTGACACTATTAGAAACCTCTTTACTCTCCTGGCGAGTGCAAGCACAGCATACAAAGATGTAGAATCGCTGTGTTGTACATCTGAAACTAACGTAACGTTGCGTGTCAACTGTACTCAAAACAAATTAAAATTTTTTTCATAAAATGCATGAAGAGAAAAAAAATGGTAGGATTTTTTTTTTTTTTGTAATCTTTTCATTTTTCCCAATGAAAGGGATACTGTTGATACATTTGAAATACCCGAACAGTTGATTAGCTGAGAAGCTATTGTTAAGGTGCATGCAGTACGCCTATCGAGAAACCAAAATACTCTGGACCTTACTGAGAATTTGAATGCTTAATGATCAAATTTCCATTTCTTAGTTAAGGTTTGTGTGTGAAGAGATACTTAGAACCTTAGTTTCAAGGAGCTCTAAAGAACCTTCTGGGCCTATAATAATTAACTTGCCAAGTGGAAAATAGCGAAATGAGGTTGTTAACATTGAAATTCAGGGTAGGGCTACTACCCATGTCGATCACTACCAAGTTCATGGTTCTCCCAGCCTGTCACTGATTTGCTCTAGTGCCGTCCTGAGTCTGTTCCTCAGGTGTCCCTTTTGGCAGGACTGCTAGATGAAAGGGTTTTCTAGGTATTTGTAGTTTTCTTGGATGCCTAATTTGTATCTGACTTAACTTCTGCTTTCTGTTGGATATCATGTCTGTCGCATTTCCAGGGTGGGGGTTGGGTGGAGGGTGTTTGGTTTTTAATTTGGGGGTTGGTTGGTTGGTTTTTATAATGCTGTAAAAAAAAAAAAAAAATGTAGTTGTTTGGTAGTCTGTGTCCCCGTGGCACAGAAGCCAATAACGTAAAAGACTATTTCTGAATGAGATTATGGCCAGCTCTTCACTGGCCAGTATTATTGAGCAGGAATATTTGCAGCATGATTTGGGTCTGCAGTAACCTGGCTGCTTCCACGGTGCTTGTAAAAATAACGGGACCGTGCGTTTTCAGTATATGACACGCTGCTTCCTAAAGAAAATGACCCAAGTTTGCATTGGTATGATTTAGAAGTAACGGACTTAAGAGATTATGGTAGAAATGCAAAAGCTCAAGTAACACAAAATGTAAAAGTATCTCATTTACCTTCTAGTCGTAGTGCATTAACTCCGCTCTGTTAACCAGTCAGAATATCCCTGGAAATGAGCAAGTCTTGAAACACGCTCTTTCTCCATACCTGAAACTTACACAGCCGTGGTTTCTCTTTCTTTCTTTTCCTTTTTGTTCTTTAAGAGAAGCTGTAGTTTTAGGGAGCACGGACTTCCTGGAGGACGACATAGAGAAGATTGTGGAGGAGCTGGGCAAGGAGTACAAGGGCAACGCCTACCACCTGATGCACAAGAACTGCAACCACTTCTCCTCGGCGCTGTCGGAGGCAAGTGTCACCCTGCGGTCCTTCAGGCACATGCCCTCCGCTGTCACCCTGCCTCCTTCAGGCACAGAACCTCCGCTGGTGTGCCCACTGCACTGCTCTTTCCTTTGCTCGTTTCCTCCTTGTCTTCCCGAGTCTTCGTGTTGTGTAAAGTGTGGCATTCTGGTTCTTTGCCTCATCTGAGTGGCCTTTCTGAGGTCGGTGGCTTCCGAGTGGGCACCGAGTTAAACTGTGACCCCATTCACGACTTCGCCGTGGGGAGGGTGAGCGCTGATAATTGTCCCTTCTTATCCTAATCCGTTCCCTTCCAACCTGAACTTCCTCTTTAAAGAAATTAATGCTGGGGCACTGGGGTGGCTCAGTTGGTTAAGCATCCAACTCTTTTTTTTTTT